TTTCGGTGGTGGGGGGGCGTGAAAACCCGCGCTTAGTCAGCTCTAAACTGACGCCGGGGCGTCAGTGTATTGGGACCCCTGCTCTCAGTACTGACTTACTTAATCAATCAGCAAGCGAACAATCCTTGTCAGATACAGAAATTTCCACTCTTCATACTTCCACTCTCCATAATTCCACTCTCCATAATCTCAACTCCTAACTACTTATTACATAAACCAAGGTAATTCCTCTTTCCTCTTTCCACATTCCAGCACCTCCATTATCATACTAAACCCCTAGTACCATACAACCAACCTAAATATCTTACTACACCCAGTCTAGATCAACACAACTTCTAAACATCCCTACATTCCAAACCATTCCCCACCAATTTCTCCATCTCTTTCACTTTAAAAAAAATCTTCCTCCCCCTACCCCCTACCCCCTACCCCCTTCCCCTTCCTTCCTTCCTATAAAAACAGAAAACTTAAACCTCCCAACAATCTTGTACCAGAAACTAAAAAACCACCAAACAGTCTATTATTCACTTCGCTACTTCCCTAGGGTTTGAATAGATAGTACTATTTGTCATTTGTGATTAAGTGATAATACGGAAGTTACATTTGATACTTGTACAGTAGACAAAATATCCATCTATATTCAATATCAAGATCTGCTTATAAAAAGTGTAAACAAGTTCAGCTATAGTAAATAAGGACAATCCCGGGAAGATTAAAAGATTATCAAATATTCATAGCTTCTGGAATTGGAATAGAATAAACCAATTGCAAAGCCTATCACTCACACTCACCCACACAACCCGACCCCTACCAGGATCCAGAAGAAACACACATTCACACCTCACACCTCACATTCTCTACAATCCCCCTCCCAAAAAACAGATCATCAAAAAAAAAATCTTCAAATTGAATTCAAGTCTCCAAGAACGACCGCCCAGCTATCTATCTATCCCACCACCCTTTCTTCCATCTACCCATCCCCAGCCCCAGCCTCGCCGCGAGCCAGTACAGCCCACCAACCGCAACCGCAGGAGCACAAGCAGCCGCAATTCATAAGAGCGGGTTGGACTTGTACTCTGGAACCACGACACTATTTCCCTTCTCGGCATTGACTTCCTCTAGTGGGTTTGCTTCATCTTCAAGTTCGGAGAGGAACTTTTCGGCTTCGAGGGCAGCTATGCATCCAGATCCTAGGGTGGAGTTAGTATATGATATTTTGGAAAGGGAAGGAGAGGAAGGAGAGGGGAGAGGGAAAAACATACCAGCAGAAGTAATGGCCTGTCTATACCTCTTGTCCTGCACATCACCCGCCGCAAATACACCCTCAATATTAGTATAACTCGTCCCAGGCTTCGTGATAATATACCCCTCCTCATCCGTGTCAACCTGACCCTTCACCAAACTAGTCGCCGGATCATGTCCCACAGCATAAAACAACCCATTCGCAACAATAGTTTCCTCCTCCCCAGTCTTAACATTCTTGATGACCATATGAGACATCAATCCCTTATCATCACCCTTGACCTCCTGTCCAACGGTGTTGAATCGCACATTAACCTTTTTGTGTGCCAGTAACCGCTTCGCCATGATACTCGAAGCTCTTAGAACATCTTTTCGTACCAGCACATCGACTGAAGATCCGTATTTGGTGAGGAACATAGCTTCTTCCGCTGCGGAATCACCTCCTCCAATCACCACCAGTGGTTTGTTTCTGAAAATTGGCACGGCACCATCACAGACTGCACAAGCCGAGATTCCATTCTGCCAGTATTTCTCCTCACCTGCGAGACCCAGGCGACGAGCTGAGGCGCCAGTCGCGATAATGATGGCGTCTGCAGTATTGGGTTCCTTGTCTTCGGCGTACTCGTTCCAGTATTTGAAGGGACGTTTGGACAAGTCGACTTTGGCGACAGTCTCCGTGATAATTTCAGTACCGAAGCGTTCGGATTGTTTACGCATAGCATCCTGTGGCCGAGTCCTTAGTGTCTTTTCTACTTTTCAAAGACGGGAAGGGAAGTATACCATCAACTCCGTACCTCCAATTCCATCAGGGAAACCGGGGTAGTTTTCAACATCAGTGGTAGTAGTCAATTGACCCCCCGCCGCAATGCCATTGGCAAGGAACCCCTCATACAGAACAGCTATAAGCTATTAGCTTCCCCTCTTTCCCCTTATCATACTAGAGAATACTCACGCTTCAACTCCGCTCTAGCCAAGTACACAGCAGCTGTATGCGCCGCCGGGCCGGAGCCAATGATGACCACCTTACTATGCATCTTCCTCACGTTCTTCCCCTGGTTCAAGAGAGAATGCAGACCCTTCGCACCCACGCCGTCACTGAGATTCTGCGTAGTCGTCTTGCTCTTCTGCTGGAACCCAGAAACAGCAGTTAGGGTCGAGATTCCCGAAAAGCTCGATCGGAGAGTACGATTTAAAGCTGAGGAAAACAGTTTGACTGTTGTGCGAGTGGTATGCGTAGATTTTGTTGCTTCTCGAAAAAAGAGGGGGGTTGTTTTTATGTCTGGCAGACGAGATTTGGTAGAGGAAGGAGGTTCAAAAGATGACGATGGTGAATGCAATGACGGTGGATTACAGAGTGAAGGACCCGAGAAGGGAAGGTTGGCTTTTGTGTGGATGGTGGGTTGATTTCTAAGGGTCGAGGCTTGGGGATGTTGTGCTTGAGGACCCCGCCAAAAATATGTGGTTGATTCCAAACCGGAAGGTTCTGGCCCCCCCGATTTCAGCCTTACGCTGTGTAAGCAGAAACACCAATCAACTTACCTAGGAGGTATGACGTGCTCTTTTGTATTCAATCAATACTTTTGTATTCTTGTATTTATATATTTTTGTGAGATTCCCATGAGATCAGATACACACGTTACTGAAAATAGGTCCTTTTGTTTACTATTGGTGACCTAGATATTTTGCGGCTAAACATTAGTACGCCCCGGTCTGCCGAACGTTGAAAGCCATCGCTCCACAGATCTCCAGGTTGAGCTAATTAATCCACATAATGTCACTCTGAATTAAACTTGTACAATCCTTAAGCTGGCCAGACCCAAGTTGTGTCCGCTCGAATCCATTTTCGGTATTAGAAATTCAGGTCAGAAACATGACTTATGTATAATGACGCCGGATCCTTAAAGTGGATGCTCATCCCAATATGGACATGCCAAATCCAGAAAAAGCCACTCAAAGACCAAGGAAGGTGAAAAGATACCATTAGTGTCTATCTCCGGAACGCCATCGCCTGGGAATATCATTTCCACATATGAACATACAAACGGTTCACTTCAAGAACCAGCCCCATCCAGCCCAAGCTCTACGCAATCGGTGCTCCTAGGTTCTCCATATCCTTAATATATCTCTCCCAAACATCAATCGTATTTCCGTAGAATTCAACATGTGCATCCGCAAGCCCTCCGAATTGCGTCTTGAACTCAATTCTCTTGATCCGCTCGAATATTTCCACCTCACGAACCACTTCCTCATCAAAAGCTTCCGTAAGTTTCTTGGTCTCTTCGACCCCACGCGTCAACTCGTCTATCCGTACATCCAGCTTCCTTTCCCGTTCTCGGCGTGCTTGCTCGTGGTCCACCCCACGTACATCCTCAATTTTGCTGCGAAAGAATCCTGCCGTGCCGGTATGAGCTCCACCCGGCGAGCGCAGTATGGCTAGATCGTTGGTAGATTTCGCAAGATATTCTGTCAGCTGTTCAAAATCAAGTTGTTTCTGTTCCCGAGCTTTCAGAAGGCTCTTGAGTGTAGTACTGTATGCCTGCATATCTCGCAAATGACCCAGATAATCCTGATCGGTTTGCTCCTTCAGCTTTCTCATCCCTGCCGATGTGTCTTCTACACTCGCAGCAAATGCATGTACGGCACTCTCAACTTCCGGCTCCAGTAAAAGCAGTCTTTGAAATTGTTCTGCCAAATCTTTGTAATCGGTTTCCAAGTCACCCTCCCGTCGAGCCACACGAGCCACAATCTTCTCAACATGTCCAAGATCTTCATCAAGTTTGTCGGACTTTTCCCGAACCTCAATAAACCGTCTATCCGGCTTATGAACTTTGGTAAAGACATTGATAAACGTGTCTGTGAAATTGTCGAAGACTCCACCAGCGGCCTGATCGGATGCTGATGATCCCCGTTGAGGACGGCTTTTCATAGTGGCATTCCAATCTACGCTCTCGAGGAAAATAATGAGAAGGGAACTTTTTCTGAGGACTGGATGGAGTGATAATCGCGCAAGAAATCGATGGAGAGAATTCGCTCGTCGCGACGTAAAATCCGGTCCAAATCGATCGCCTCGTATATACTCCATTGCGTGCTTGTCTGGCAGAGGCGGGACCGCTTGCGCCGGGTATTCTCTGCATAATGACTTGTACAAGAAGACAAAATCTGTAAATCGTCTGCGAACGGAAGTCGTAGATTTTTGGAAAGATGGGAAATCGGTCTGCGATGATTAGCAAATGTCTGATAAAGTCCAATCTTGTATGACTTCATGTTAGGGAGAAAATGCGATGAGACACAGGATGAGACACAGGACGTCCGGCCGATGGGGGAAGTATAAGCAACTAAAGGACCTTGGGAGTACCAACATGTGTAGTGACCAAGTAAGAAACATATGCGTCTTTCGTGCCATCATTCTCTTTGATAGGAGCGGTAACTGTGCAGTCCAGTCTCGCATCGCCCACACCTGCAAGATCCATCGCATCCGCGGTATTTCCTAGTTGTCCATGAGGAGCTTCCGATTGATTATTTGAATGATCCATAGCCGGGATGACATGGCCTGATCCAGGGCTTCCTATTATTACTTCTTCATCAGGGCTTGTTAGGTCATTCTGCCATGAGACGTTGGCAAACTCGTCGTGGTCCATCCAAGCGACGGTGGTTGGTGGATTGGCGCGGGGCAACCTGAGATGAATCGGATTGTGGCAGATGAGGGGTTGGTAGAAGAAAGAGATGGGTGTAGGAAGATTGAGGGATGAGATCGGATGTGGTGGAAAGCTTAAGATTGTATGGTATTGAGGGTGAAGGTTTTGGTTTTATGTTTCGCTGAGTGATTGTTAGAGCTCATGAGAGGTGAATTGATGCAGCTGGTCGGTTGCTTGCGCAGCCTGATCAGCGTCATCAGGCTATGAAACCTTGCTGCCCGGTTGGCCTCATATCTTGGGCGATAAGTATTCCCCCTCCATAATCATGTGACCTGTTCACTTTGATTAGCAAATATTCTTGACTTATCGAGTTTTGTTTTTTTGTTCAGAAGAGAAGTGCCGATATGATTGAAGTTTATAATAGATAAAGACATCTAGTTTACAGTAGAAGAGAAGGGATTGAAGCTCCCATTCCATTACAAGCGAGACAGCAAGCGAGGGGGGTCATAGATTCCCACCAATCTACTCTACACACAAAAACATCAAATATAAACCCTTATAAGCCCTAGAGACTTTAAAATATCAACCCTAATCCAAAATCAACAAATCAACAATCAACCACAAGCAAGTACTTTCTAATTCCAAGACACTTACTCGTATACTAGCTAAAACTTACCCTAACCACATAAACTACCCTCTTACCAAATAAACAAAACAACCTACAACCTAGCAATTCAATAACTCAACCCACTCACACAGACCTCCCTTATAAAAAATTAAAAATCCAAGCCCTGAACCTCCTATTACCTCTCTTCCTCCAACATCATCCCACCACCCCTCTCCTCCCCTCTCCTCTCCTCGCCCCCCATCCATCCAATCCAGTCCCAAAAACCAACCTGCAATACGGCAACCCAATCATTAAAACACCCTTACTTCGCTTCTCAACAAGCACTTACAGTCTATCAATTTCTATACAGAAGATTATTAAGATTTCGAGATTTCGAGATTTCCAACTTTATCTTTAACCACCGTATTTAAGATCTCAGAACTCTTAAGTTACAAAAGAACTGGAGAATACATGGATAATGTTTTCGTTTAAGGGTAGAGAGAGTAGAGAGTAGAGTAGGGAGAGAGAGAGAGTAGAGTGATATTTGAAGGTCTATAAAGGAAAGCGTTGTTGGGATTGGGATTTTTATTAGAGAGGTAGCGACGGAGCGTCGAGAGTTATGTATATATGCGCCTTTGTATGTATAATTCATGTCTCTCCTCTTGTGGTTGTGATATTGTATGTGCTCTACTAACCCGTGACCGACAAATATACAAAAAGAAGGGAAAGTGATGAAAGTCATTATCACAACATGCCAAACTCCGTATCCCAATCTAAGAGAACGATGAAAATTTACTTACAATACCATACCACTCAATCCAAATCCAAATCCAAATCCATATTCCCGTATCTACCAACCCCATCCAGTCTAACCCATCCATCAACCCGCCCTCAACCTCCAAAAAGAAAAAGAAAAATACAAAAAGAATCCAAAACAAGCGCCCTACTCCCACCCCCCAACACTCACACTCCAAAGCACCGGCCTCCCATCCGACACCGTCCCCGCCTGATCTCCCCCAACCTGCCCACTGGCCGCAACATCATCATAAGGAAACGCATACCCCCTCCCATCCCGACTCCTCCTATGCACACACCTGGCATAAACATTCGTCACACCTCCCCCATAAAACAGCCCTACATCGCCCTTCGGCTCCATCCCCTCAAGTAGGAGTGTACTCCTATTAAACGCCGCCGCGATCCTCGCCGTCAGCGCACCCATCGCAACGGTGTTGGTGGCTGACCCGGCAAACGGGCCTGTGGAGCAGGAGAAGATGTCTGTGGCGGTGGGTTTAGCGAAAGAGCCGATTTGAGGGAAGGTGAGGAGGTTGGAGATGATGGTTCCGGATTGGAGACCCCATTGTGCTTGCGTGTCGATGACGAGGGGTTGGGTGGTGTATTTGTTCCATACGGCATTTACGTAGTCGTCGTAGTATCCTTTTAACAAGCTGGGGTCCATCACGTGTGCTGTATTGGGACTGAGAACCCGCGTTACGGTTCCGGAGGTATCGCGCACTACTAGGTTTTTCCAGCCTGTTCCGTCGGTGGAGCTTTGGGCGATGAGGTCATTGGCTATGAGGTCTACGCCGTTGGAGGGGAGGCCGAGGACGGTTTGGGTAACGCCCGAGGAGGAGAGGAGAGAGAGAGAGATGGGGATGGAGACGAAGTCGACGTAGGAGATGTTGGCGAAGAGTTGGCTGGTGTTGTAGGTGAATTCACAGAAGCCCCATGTTTTGGTGTAGTTGGGATCGGAAGGATTGGAGACTGATGGTTCGACCTATATATATCATATTAACATCTCATCTCATCTTCATATCACCTCTCCAAACCCCCCCCTTTCCCCCCTCCCCTCTTTCACTCCACNTTGGAGACTGATGGTTCGACCTATATATATCATATTAACATCTCATCTCATCTTCATATCACCTCTCCAAACCCCCCCCTTTCCCCCCTCCCCTCTTTCCACTCCACCACAAAAAACAACCAAAAAAAAACTCACAAGCCCAGGCCCAGGATTCAACAAAAAAACCAACCGGTCATTATAACAAAAATACACTCTCCCCCCGGCTAACCACGGAATCCTCACCATCCGTTCCGTTCCCGGCCCCCCAAGCGGGATCCCACAGTCGGCCGCGAGAGCGACGCCATTTCTGGAGGGGGAAGACGGGAAATAGGGTGTTTGGCCGTCGGCTTGGAGGAGGAAGCGTTGGTTTAGTGTTGAGGGGACAAGGGAGAGACCTGTTATGTAGGCGTAGATTTGGGGGGCGGTGGAGGTGTTGCGGAGGCTGATTTGGAGGGTGGGTGGTGTCATTTTTTTGGTTGAGGAGGAGGGGAGGGTGTGTTTGTTTGTTTGAGATGGGTATGAGGTGAGTTGAGGGTGTTGTTGTGTGTGGGCTGTTTCTCGAGGTGCTTCTTACTGCGTAGGTTGGGTGTGAGAATGGTGAAGTTGGTGTACAACTCTTCATCTCTATTCCCTCCCACGAAACAAAAGCAATGCAAAGCAATTTAAATAAATTACTCCCTTCACTTCCCCTCCCAGTACAATAATACTCTCTTCCTATCCCTCATCATCAGTTCTCCCCACGAGACGCCGGGAAGATCACGAACTTACCGCAGCAGAAGGGTGCCGTACAAAGGAGGAAACTGGATGTGGTGTGCTAAAGGACCGATGACTGAAACCAATCTACTCTCTCTCTCTCTCTCTCTCTCTCTCTCTCTCTAAAATAATAAGCAGAGCAGACTCGAAAAACTAGGTACGTAGGTACGTATGAAAAAAACAATCTAATGAAATGAAAAATGCTCAAAGTACATAGGGAAACCAAAAAAAAGGAATAGGTACGTGATGGTGAGGTATCCACGTTGTGGAAATCAAGGCACAACCACCACAACCTACCAATCCCTCATATGTCCGAAAAAAACGGCGATGAGAATACGACCAATGGGGTGTGAGTACATCCCGTACTCTTTGAACAGTATCTAGATTGTACCTACCCTACCTACCTAGGTACCGTCCAAGGGTCTTTCATCTCGACCCCAGGCACAGTTCTGGTAGCAGCAGTCGCAAAAAGGCACAGTACTTAAGTCCCCGTACCTACAAAGAATAACCTTTAAACCCCCAAAGATCCTCGTCCTCGTCCTCATCATCATCATAGACTCCATTACCTACCTAGGTACAGCACAAACCCCAACTCTCCTAAACAAATACCTACCTCCCTCCTACCAATCTCCATCCCCTCTCCAAAAAAGCAGGTAAGTATGTACCTGACCAAACCAAACCTAAAATACTTGAATGTGAGGTAGCTAGCTAGACACAGACAGGTACATTGACGTCAGTACCTCCTCTTACAATCAATCACGCCCCACATCCCAACCCCAACCCCAACCCCTCACTCCCCAACACCGCGGTCGCGACCAGTGATCACCTCCCCTCCCTGAACAGTAAAAAAAAAACGATTACAGGACTCAACTCACGCACAAGACATCACACAACATCCCATCCCCTTCCATCCCATNCCCCTCCCTGAACAGTAAAAAAAAAACGATTACAGGACTCAACTCACGCACAAGACATCACACAACATCCCATCCCCTTCCATCCCATCCCCACCCCCTCACTCCCATCCAAAATACGCACATGCACACAGTCACTTCCCTTCCCCCCTCCTCCCTCCCAAAACCCCAAAAACTCAATCCAATCTCAATCTCAATCTCAATCTCATAACCATACACGAACCAAGATCTCTAGATCTCTGGTTCGGGCCAAGTACAACTACTATATACTCATCACCTCACCTCACCCTATCGCCCGCTACCTGCTGTGTTCGCATCTCTAGGATTCACAACATACACATGCGCCCGTCTCTGCTGTACCACGAGACACGAACCACGAATCCATGAACCATCTGATATCATGCTGTACATAGGTACCTATGATGTCGTATCTGCAGCTGTAGCTAGTTGTACTATACTGTATGACAGGTAAGAGTACTGATACATACTCGGTATCAACCATATAACAAGTCAAAGATCCAGCCCCAGACGAGGGGAGGGATGAACTACAACAACAACAAAAGGCTATCGATTCATCCATAGTGCAGTATAATAAGCTTTTCCATTTCACCACATCCATTTAGGAAATCAGAATCAGGTAGCTACTCACTCACTTACACATCGCCAATACCAATACCAACCAAAATTGACATTTTTGCTTTACTTTCCGCAAGAGTAGCATAATTAGCCGTTTCCAAAAAAAAAAAATGAAAAAGTCATGCGTCATGAAAGCCCCTCCATCCATTCATAGAAGCATAGGAGATTCCTCCCCCCATTTCCTCCCCCCACAAGACGCAAGACGCAAAAGCACCCATAAATGCAAAGAAAAACATTCCGCCAATCCCCAGTCTATGCGTACATGCTTGCTTGCTTGTTTCCAGTATGCTGATTCCCAATCCATATGGAAGAAGCGGGTTCGATTTTCGTAAAATTACAAAGAGGGAGGGGGGCGGATGAAATAGGGAACGTTATTTCTCGTAAATTCGTAAACAAACAGATGCGCGCGCCCTTCAAGATCCATGTAGAGCCTTGAAGCCAGCCGAGACGAGACTCCTGGGTCCACTTGGGACATCTGCGGTTCCGGTCCAGTAGAAGAGGCCCTGAAACGTATTGTCAATACATGATCGGACACAGAAGCGAACAGACTCCAAGAAAGAGATGCGGGAAGGAAAGAGATAATTGGTAGAGACAACAGAAAAAGAAAAGGGATCGAACGGAAATCACACATACCCCAAGTCCCCTCTGATTACAAAATCCCGCCTTCATTTTCACCGTCTCCGGATTATCATATGTAACCCATCCTCCTTCTCCATCCCCTCCATGACAAAATGCCCCGACAACCCTTGTATTAACAATCTCCTCCGTCCCCGCACACGGCAAGTACTTATACTCAAATGTCCCTTCCTCGCCTCCATGTCCTGTGAACGAATGCTCTGGTCCACTGGTACCCAAGAAACTCCTTCCATAAACCGGAACACCAAGCAGGATCTTTGCCGCTGGGAAACCGGTGGAAATAACGTAATCCACAGCTGCGGCACTGGATGGTTCACCAGGCTTCCCTGCGTACAGCTGTGCGTGGTGACCAGCCTTTTCGGACCAGGAACCAGTGAAATCGTAGGCCATGAGGTTGAGAAGGTCGAGGTAGTCTTGTGCTTTGTATAGGTTGATGTTTTGCAGGGCCCATTGACCGGCTGGGAGAGCAGCAGTGAGGAGGTATTGATTGTCTGGGAGGTAAAGTCTAATGGCTGCTAGGAGGGAGAGAAAGTTCTGGCCTTCGATTTGATCTGATGGGTGCTCCCAGTCGACTAGATAACCTGTCAGAGGGAAGATTTAGTGCTTGTGAGAGTACTTGCTATCGATTCCGTCAAACCCGGATGCTTGAACTAACGCTCTTGCAGAACGACCGAATGTATCTCTGGTTGAAGCATGGGCTGCTACTCTCGCAAAGTTCTGGCTTGCTGCTCCTCCGCCGATTGACAGTATTACCCTGAGATACTCGTGCTCTTGCTTCAGTCGCATAAAAGATCCGATGCATCCGGTCGCTCCGTCTACTGGCATTTGTGCATCCGCCCACTCATCGTTCAACTAAACTTCATCAGACCCGGTCCAAGAATATACAAGTTGGGCAAAGACCTACAGATACAATGCCATCGGGTGACACTTGAGCAAAAGCATAAAAGACATGGTTGATGCAGTGGTAGTTCAGTGTTGCTGGTGTTTCTCCACGGTAGACTCGGTAATTGGGATAATAGACAGCATTCTTGCGAGTAAGACTTTGAAGACTAGCATCTAGAGATGGCTGCGAGGGTCTTCGCATCTCCGGTCTTGTGTCGTATGGAATAGGTGGAGGAGTAGGACCGTAGTAACTCATGTTTTATAGCCAAGTTTGATATCCCAAGCTTGATCTCCTGTGCTCTGATCCAGATGTAGTCTAACTCGGCAGTCAAGTGAATGTCGTCTAAAAACGATATGGTTGACGTAGGAGAGCCGGTTGGTGCTTCCTCTTTCGGAAGCCGGCTTTTGTTTGTTGGAAATGGATTCGTGTGTGTGGAGAACCACGTTCTTATGTTGGTTCAGTCTGCCGAGGGGCTGAATGCAGTTGGCCAAAAAGAGTATTCAATGGTACACTTCAATACTGACGAGACAGTTGGTGAAAACAAGAGCTTCGGGAGCTTATATATAAGGGATATATATGAAGGGTAGGTCTGATATTATCAGCTAAGTCCACCACACATGCTCACGGCTTACCGCTCATTGATTATTGTTGCGTGGTTGTGGAAAGGTGAAAGTGGCGATTGGCTTTCCCTCGGTGGAGTGGCGTATTTGTAGTATGGCCCTAGGTTAGGTGGACTATCAAGACCTATAAGATGCGTGACCAAGGACGATTGTCGAGTGTGAAGAGGAGACCTTCGTTCAATCCTTTGCCTGGTTCTCTCAAGATGCATATATACACAAAAGCCTGGCTGAAGTTCCTTGACATTGTGAACATAAACAGGGCTTGACCTCGAGAAGCTTCCCGAAAACGGGTCCTTCCCTCCCATCAAGTGGCAGTTGAGCCGGAAAACGTATTTGCATGTTGAGCTGCGGGAAGAGGATGAAATGCGGATCAAGTGGAGTGAGAGGAGGAATGGCACAGGTACATGATGTACATACTATACATACATACATACAAGATCAGGGCCAGGGAATGGCATCGATAGCATCAGCGTCTTCGGAGATACTTTCTCACAGCCCGAGAAGGCCAGATGCAGATGAAGGTGCATTGCGGTGCTTCATCGGCTGAACCAACAGAGGGGAGAGTCTCAGAGAGAGGGAAGAGGGGCATGATGGCTTCGAATATCTTGGACGTACCTCCGGAAAGGATGCGATACGCCCACATATGCACATACTACCGTTGAGTTCGTGCAGCCTCTCTCGATGCTGTACTGTCCTGTAGCCTGCCTCATGGCTGTCTGTACCCTACCAACTGCTGTAGAGTTCTGTATCTTAGGGTTAGGGCCACCCTCCATATCCATATTAAGTCAATACGGCGTGCGTTGGAGGGCAGCGACTGCCATGGAATTCTCATCCGTTATCTGGAAATGCCGTGTAGGCATGTAGCGCTGACTCGTAGTTCTCAAGTACCGTTCTCTCGACCCGGCCATTCCACAACCGCAGAAGCATTCGGATGTTACCAACTCAGTGTCATTCGTACCATCAACTCGGTAGTCATTGAACCGCCCACAAAGGGGAGAGCAGCATGATGATGATGTCTGAACTTACGAGGTTGCTACTTTCATTTCGTGATGTGAGAATTGACAGCTGGCGTGGTAGTCGCAAGGATCTTCCATCGGCTGGGGGGGACAGCGATCGTCACCAAGCGGCAGCACCTGGGATCACTGGCGAGATTGTGATGGGGGGTGCAGGTGCAGGTGCAGGCACAGATAGAGTGCAAACGGACCGGGAATGTGCTTGGAAGTCTTGAAGCCTTATTGGGTTGCTGTTCGGGGGTTTCCCAAGTCGAGATGTGCCCTGCTTCTGGCTGGCTGGCTGTGGTGGTGATGGTGGTGGTGGTGAGCACTGTCTTCACTGGTTGTAGTGGAGCCAAGGAGGGGTCATGGAGCTTTTTCGTCATGAGGGGTCAACATGACTTTTTGGTGGGGTAGCAGTAGGTAGCAGCTACCTACCTACGCTACTCGAGTACAGCAAGGGCCTGTTTGGCGCTTCCACGCACAACACGCCAGTGCACAAAAAGGCTACAGTACGGACTCGCTCCTTCCTCGCCGTCAAGGCCCCAGCCAAGTGATCGAAGGAGCTTGAGAACTTGGTCATTGAGGTGCAGGTACACGCAGCAGTAGCAGGCCAGCTTCTCGTTTCTAGGCTCTAGCAGACTCGCTACGAGTGGTTCGTCCGCCGAGGAGCACTGAAATCTTGGGCTGCACAGCAGAAAAGCTTCCGTTATTGCTTCGCGGGGCGTCGTAATCTTCCCCTTTGAGGACCCTGAGATTCGCCATGTTCTCTCAGAAGGGTCCATGTTGTTACAGGCGTCATCTCAAGGAAAGCAGCTCTCTAGGCGTGGCTTGCGCTTCTCGCTGTGATGTGCGATGCAGCTGGCAGCATCGCCTCGGGCAGGAAGGTATGAAGGCAGATCTCCCCAAGTGTTCCTCCTAGGTCCAGACCGTAGTACAACATAGTACAACATAGCACAGCATAGTACAACATAGCACAGCATAGTACAACATAGCACAGCATAGTACAGCAGTGTATACTGTATCTGGGCAAGAAAATGGGCATGGGAGGTACTCAAGTAGGTACTCCTCAAAACAGGAATGTATAGCAGCATCGTGGGTTGACATCTCTCACCTGATCCGGCAAAACAGCTGGCGTTATCAAGGCTGATATATATTCTTCTTCGATGCTACGCTGTACACTTGTACCGGTAGTTGTCTCCCTTCCCCACTACTTACCCTCCTCTGAAGCCGGCTGTCAAAGCTAGGTAGAAGTAGGTTGGTAGTGTGATAGTCCTGTACTGTACCAGAGCCATGGACTAATAGGAACCGACCTATCCAATCCTCCGCCGTAGACGGAAAAGCCAACATCAACACGTCAATCCCTTACGATGTTGACTTGCCATACTGGTCGTCTGGCATGATGGTGGGTTCCACGATGCTCCCAAGATGATCAAAATCGATAATCTCACACACACCATCCACCCCGAACAAGCTCTGGCTGCACAGCAAGAGTTCAGCCAATGTGCTCCAAGCTGGCGCCGTTCTTCCCTGCCAGGAGAGGCCACCGTCCAAGTCGTCGGAATGTCTCATCCAGAAATTGGCATCGTCTGTTATTGGCAACGGTATACAGAGCGAGACCCTAGCTGCAGTTGGGCGTGGGCTTGTGTGAGTAGCAGCACCAGAGCCTAAATTGTAACTGTACAGCATGGTCGGATTGAAAGGTACCAGAGTATTGATAGTGTGTGGTGTCAACGGAAGAAATGCCCCTCTCGTCACTGCCTACCTAACATACGAGTACTCTGCCCAGGTGGAAGTACCTAATCAATCTCGGGAAGGCGGGTTGAGCCGAGATGATATCGAGGCACGTGACTCGGATAATCCCTCGGCCGGTAAAGGTGGGTGGGTATCTTGGCGCTCATGGAAGCTCTCCCCAGTCAGATGGAATTTCTGCAGGGCCATGGTAGCTTGACCGCGCCCTTCATGTTACACTCCATCAACACTATCTCAACCTCCTGCTCACCTTTCCCATCTGCCTACCCACGACACCCTCTTTATCTCTCCTCCCATACCCTCCTTTAGCCAAAACCTGTCCATATCGATTCGCCTTGTCTGGTTCTGTCCCCTCCTCGATTGCCCCTCCTCCTGCCGGTCCACATTCCAGCGTCGACCGAGGGCTGACGAGGGCTGACACCGAGCTGCTTACCTCAAGTCGCGGCAGCAAATCACCACTGTTCTCTTCTTCTTGGTATTTAGTGCTACCAATAAACTATTTTGGCGTTGTGACTCTGCTCTGCAACCACTCGGCACTTATCTCGACTATCTTGACTTTGAAAGGCATAGAGCGCGCCTGCAGAGCTTAGGTTGCTACCACGCCCGTCTCCCGCATAATCCCCGACCTCCATCTTTGCAACATTGCCGTGCTATAGTCGCATAATTACACCTTGAGGGACATCCCTCGGCATAAAATTACCCTTGAACGAAACAAGACATTATTCCACACCTTTGCCATGACTGCCGTCCTTTCTCAAGGCCCAGGAGCCAAAGACCTGTCACGGCAAATTCTTGAACATCAAGCTCCTCAGTACACTTTCGCCTTTACGCCCTGCCTTTTCGAGACCTACCGCCATGGCCTCTCTCCAAACCGGCCGACCTGTAAAGCGTACTTGCAAGGACATTGTCCTTTGGGATCAGCTTGCCCGGATAAACATACATCGGCGAACAGCAACTCCAACTTCAACAACCTAGTCTGCAAGCATTGGTTGAGGGGCCTATGCAAGAAAGGAGAAAGTTGCGAGTTTTTGCATGAGTACAACCTGCGGAAGATGCCTGAGTGCAACTTCTTTGTACGGAATGGGTATTGCTCAAATGGAGGTAAGAATCATTCTCGTCTTTAAATCCGGAGAGATATATGCTGACGCTCTATTGCAGATGAATGCCTTTACCTTCACATTGATCCATCTTCCAAACTCCCTCCCTGTCCGCACTACGATAAGGGCTTCTGTCCCTTGGGACCGATTTGCTCCAAGAAGCATGTGCGTAAGATTCTATGTGAATTTTACCTGGCTGGGTTTTGTCCCGATGGTAAGAATTGCAAGAAAGCGCATCCTCGATGGCCGACAGATTTAGCGAAACCAACCGTTAGAGTGGAAAGGGACCCAGAAGAAATTGCTGAGGAACAAAGAATATTACGCGAAAATGCAGAGCGGGAAGAAGAGAGGGAGCGTGAGAAGTTTGGAGGTGGTGAGGGGGGTGGTGGTCGCGGTAGAGGCCGTTGGCATGGGGGTGGTGGCTTTGGTGGCGGAAGGGGTAGAGGTGATCAGAGACGACAACGAGGTCGTGGGCATTATTGATCGCAGCCCGGAGAAAATACTACAAAACGGCCCCAAAGCGCATAATCGCCGATTAGACGGGAGCAAGATTGGTAGCGAAATGAACTTGCTGCATTATGCGAAATTATCGACATCTACTAACCTCGTTTTGTCGAGTCCAATAATACTATCACTCGTACGGTGGTATCAACCGCAGCCACAATACTTTGGAGTCCTCGATCCCTCGATGTTACCGCTCTTTGGACCAAAAGCGAGTACTACGGTACTCGGCTACTGGGATTGATCACGACATAACTACGAGCCCCCAAATGGAAAACGCTCCTGTCCAACACCAGGTTGTTTTTTTCTACGCCGTCTCACTGCATAAGTGGACGGGCCCGAAGGATGGGATTTTGGGTCGGCCATTATCCGAATGGGGTCGATACTACATGAGCCTGGGTGTTATGAGGTACCATGCTTTTTCTCGAAATCGCGGCGGCCGGCGTACCATTTTCGTTCTCGTCGAAAGCGGATATTCGACGTTTCGACGTCTTTGATTTGGGGAGGGAGGGAGATGGCGATACTTTATGTGTATGAGGGGATCTCGGTTAGAATTTTCAAATTTCGACATAGCGAATGGAGGTTCCTCAAGTGAGGCTCATGCTTGGCATCAAGACTTGGAACGTAGGGATAGATGTGGGGTTAATATGAATCAAAATTTTCAACTTTTCTAATTATCATTCGACCCAAAGAATTTTCTACCTGCCTCTTCCATTGTAAAGATTATAATTGGATAGTTGTGGGAGTTTAGTAACGTGCGCAACTCAACCCAACCTAACCTAAGCTTTATTATAGGATAGGCAATTCTTTATATAGTAAGATTCCATTACATTACGGTACAATACGACATGAACTTCATACCACAAGACTCCATAAGAAACCACAGTACCTACCTACCTACCTACCTACCTAGCTACCTACCTATTGCTCTCCCACCTACCATCCTACCAGCCTACTACAGTATTTACCTATCTCGCCATCCCGGTCCTAGTCCTACATACTCGTACCTACCTTCCTTCCTTCCTTCCTTATAAATTATAAATTATCATACTACTACGAGTACATAGGTAATACATAGGTGGTACGAGTATATACTCCGTAGGTAGAATCGAAATTGGCTTACAGTACTGTACCTAGGTACTTTGTTAACTTACTTTGTTAATTTACTTTGTGTTGTTGCTATATAGTAGGTTCGTGGTTTTTCGTAGAGAGAGATGGATGGATGGATGGGTTGGTTGGTGGGTTGGTGGGCTGGTAGGTTGATAAGTGAGTAAGTGAGTGAGTGGGTAAGTGGGTGGGTAAGTGGGTGTAACCAGGAAAGGAAGGAAGGGATATAGATGGGGAGGTGGGATATTAGTTGCTAAGTTTATTAGGTTTGTAAAGTTATATCTACAACACGTGGAGTAGAGTGGAGTAGAGTGCGGTAGGCTACCAAAAGCCTTTATAAAGAGGGTCTAAGGGCTAAGATAAGATTGGATTGGATCAGATTATATTGTATTAGATTGGATTAATTCAATATTTCATTCACCTATATAGTAAGGTTTGAACGCGATGTAGATGGAGATATAGAAGGAGATGGAGAGGGAGATTTTTTGAACTTTTGAGGGATGGAAAGATGTGAGCGAGGAGGATGAGAGGAGGGTAAGAGGGAGGAGGGAGTAAGTGTAGCTGTATTACCTCGCTAGCATACGTGAGCTCTATGCTATACCAAACAGGGTAAGCTTATGTACTGTACATACCATCGAATAAGAGTACAAATCACAATAAAGACATATCCCAATTTTTCATAGCATGGTAATCATATTCAAATCCCTGAATGGATGAAAGAATGGAGTATTCCACACCATGTAGCTACCTAGCTACCTAGCTAATTCCATATATGTAATTCCCACCAAATCATGCATTCCAAAATCATAATCCATCCAACCCAAACCAGGTACTAACAAGATAAAAAAAGAGAACGCCGTGCCGTATATCCCATTGCGTGTGCTCGTCCTCATAGACGTATAATCCCAACCTCAAATTCAACCCTCCCGCTTTCCCTCTTCCCTCCAGATATTTTCCGATTCCGGGTGGTCATAAACATTAATATACTCACTATGCTCCATCTTCTCGTCCGAGCTCCCAGTCGAGCCCGAACTACTGCTACTCGACCCTGAACTACCTCTTGACCCTGGCTTTGAACCACTAGAGTTACTGGTAGTCGTAACCGTAGTCGTGACTTCCCCCGGACTCTTCCCAAACCATCCACCTCGTCCAAACTCCGCTTTCTGAGCCCCAACGTTTACATGCTTAACACCCATCATCCACCCCACAAGACCACTCGGTGCCCACCTTCCAATCAATCCATAAACCGAGCTGCCCACACCAACCCTCACAACACCTCCCCTCGTCGAAACCATAGCATCGAAAACAGCGTCATTCAATACCCTTAAAGAAGTCCCCTGCCCTATCGCACTCTTAATTCTATTCGCGTGATTGAAGTTCTTTGCGTATGAAAGTCTGGCGCTTTCATCCCATTTCAGGGATTCCGCGCGTGCAGAGCTGAGAGTTTGAAGTTGCTTGTTGTTGTGTGGCGCGAAGGCGCGGAGGTCGAATGTTCCTAGTTGGAGATGGGTTACTGGGATATCGAGGGGTGCGAGTTCGGAGGCGAGAACTGTGGAGAATGATGAGAGAGCCGAGACTATCATGGATTCGGGAAGATGGAATGCGGGTTGTATGGAGGGTATTATTGAGGGGGTGAGAAGAAGGACGGAAGGCTTGAAGACTGGCGGACGAGCCCCGGGGGGTAGAAGTTGTGGTTGTGGGAGTGGATGGTCTTGCAGAAGAGGGAGAAAGTTTTGCAGGGTTATTATTGGGGTTAGGAGACGGGTGTTAAGAAGGTCGGAGAGAGTGCCCGGTGGAAGAGTGGCTATTGGTTGGGAGGGGTATGTGGTTCCTGGTATGAAGATTACCGAGCGGAGTATTAGGTGGTGGGTTTTGGACCCCGCAAATGCGGTATGAGGTCTGAAGAGAAATTCTGTGAATCGGTCGATAGATGCTCGGGCACTGCTAGGCTGTGGTTTTGTTAGATGTGTCGAAGAAGTGTGAAAAGAGACTTACGTCCACGATGTCAATCGACAATGGCTTGATATCTGGACGAGCTTCGCCGCGCACTTGCATCTCCTCCTCAATAGTATTGCATACTACGTAAACAATAAACCCTCTTCGTTCTAAATCTAGCGCAACAGAGCGAGTTATTGGATCTGATGGCGATCCAGCTATAACCACAACCTCGACTCTTGCGCCACTTCCTGATCGCCTCGCTCTGCGCTTCTTCCGGTTTGTTCTTTTCGTCACAACATAATATGTGGCCCCACCAACAGCAACCACAATAGCGGTCGTGAGAAGCTTATTGTTGCTAACCCAGTGCTGTACTCGCTCGTATAAAGATGCTGGTGAAGAAACCCTGGAGGGGAAGGCTCGTGGAGGGGGTGAGGGTGGTCTTGGACGCGCAGATTCGGGAATCCATGGAGAAGATGACAAAGTATCTCTCAGGACATTGGAAACGTGGTTAAGATGTTTATCGACATAATCTGCAACATCGCTCGAGTACTTCTTTATATCGTTGGGCACCGAGGAGAGCTATTCATGTTAGCTGTTGCTTATAAAATTGGTAAGATACAAACTACCACATCCAGAAATGCCTGGTCGTCTGCAGACATGGTCACAGAGAAGTTGTAGAAGCGTCTGTCCGATGAGAATGGTGTGATAGATGATGTCAATTGTAGTTGGATGGAGAGCTTAAAGGCTGAGAAATAAGGTTCACCGGTTGCCGAGGCGGGGAGGGGGTCGGTGGATGGCAATATTAGGTAAGCACTTCACTTATTCTTGTGATTGGCCAGGGCTTTCTTCACGCATGCATACCTATGATCCACGAACTCGTACTCAAGATTACAGAGATCAAATATTCGGATTTCTCAGGATTTAATCACCGATGTCGTTGTCTGTAGTACAATGGGTCGACCGCGACCCAGAGTTGATTTTACTACACGTCAATGAGCACCGGTAAGCTCGGAAATAATTTCAGAATAAAATAGTCCGAGGATATATCTTGCTCGAAATCTAGCCGAGAGAAGGCTTATAAGTTATGATCCAGAATTCTTGTACGGGTAATCTAATTTACTTGGTGCGTTTCATTTTGTGCTGTCTTGTTCTGCTGTATCCGTATTAGTATCATGCAGACCTGGGCGTCGATATATCGATGTCGTATCGGGGGGGTACTCGATATATAACGTATCGGAAATATATTAACGATACAATATTACTAAGAACCAGATATCCGATAATATATTAAGTATCGATAATATATTAAGTATCGATAATATATTAAGTATCGGTATACGTAACGTAGATTATTTATAAATCCGCCGCTAGACTAATTAGCTTACTATATTCCTGTTAAAGGTACTATATAGTACGGTATAAAGGTGTGAAAGAGACTTAGTGTAACGAATACTCAAACTGGCTAACTAAACTTGGCTGGGTGTTCGCTGGTTGGTATGCTATGATAAGAAGAAGACTATCGGGTTGTTCACTTGGAAGTGAACTCGTTACTTGTATCAAAGATGTCAAACTAATATGATAAGATTGATAACTAAGTTGAGCACGAAGCTCCTATCTAATGGCAGACGTGCCAGTCTTATATAGAACCTTCGTTCCCAATATATCGCTACCATCGCTATCGATAAAATCCATCAAGTCGATATAGTCACGTGATTTCTGGTCGCTGAGAAATTCCTTGGATCGTCTGGCTAGCCTGATGCAGCCACCCGATCCTTACTATTTGGTTAAATACCAATGGGTTCTCCTGTCAGCGAAGTGCTGTCTGGGCCCATGGTCCCAAATGTCACCTGACGATTTCGTAATCGTGACACTTAGTAGGAGATAAGCTTTTAGAGATTCTACTACCTTTATATATTATAAGTCTTCGGATACCTTAAAACCCGAGCCTTCTTACTATATTAGCCTACTATATAGTAATATCGAATCCTAGTCTTACTTAAACAAGCTATTCTACTCGAACTTTATATATAGGTTATCTAACCTTTATTTTCTTAGTAAAGATCTTACTACTAGTTAATATAAAGTTAGCTTATAAGGGGTTAGTTACTAGCCTTTATAACTATTATTATATATTTTTTTATTCTTATTAAGCTTAGATTTCTTTTAGTATACTATTATAGTAAGCGCCTTAGTTTATTTTTATATTATATTAGTTGCTTTACTTTTCTTACTAGCCTATAGGTTCTTAAGTAGACCTAGAAGAGGATTAATACTATTATAGTTCTATAAGTTATCTATAAACTAACCTAATCTCTAGCGTCTAGTAGCTAGCGCTAGTTCTATCTACTCTAGGCTCGGGATTCTGATAGTCTAACTTATACTATCCTATACTAGGAAAGGCGTAATTCTAGTAACTACTATAAAATTTTATCTAAAGTATATAACTAGGAAAATCTTATTACTATTTAGTGGTTCTATTAACTTATAATAGAATAGACTAAAAAGGTTCTTATTATACTTTTACATATCCGCTTTTATCCTAAATATATAGTAGTCTCTAGCTTTAGCCTTAACTCCTATTCTATACTATAGTATTATATAAGATCTTAGTAGGTTAAGGGCAATATATCTAAAACGTAACCTATCCCTATATAAACTTCTATTTAGATTAAAAGTTAAAGGCTAGTATATAGTTTATATTATAGGTATAATATCTTTATTTATTATAATAATTAGTACTATAATATCTAATAAGAGCGTATATAGTAGTATTTTATTAATTCTAAATAAGTTAATAAGGCTACCCTAGACTAATACTAGGTATACTAGAAGATTATATTTTAGTAATACTATATTATTACTTAAAGATATAACGTATAAGATCCTGTTAGGTAGTAACTATACTAAATTACCCTCTCTATTAATTTTTATTTATACTTTTTATAATTCTAGCTTAATTGCTATATTCTATTTCTTATCTTTTACTAACTATTTAGTATTTACTTCCTATAATTAAACTCTTGTAACGACACGTACGATATGTTGCCCGTGGGCGTCCAAGGTGTAGGTTATGGAATCGTAGAACTGCTGCGAGGAGCTATTTAATAAGGCCCACTTTAAGACTAGATTCTTCACTAAGATTTGTCTACCTAGATAGGCTGGCCTACTTTTCTTTCTTTCTTTGATTTATGTATTTCATTTGTTGTACCCTGGTTCACAAAACTAATTAAGGATAAGGGCTGTCCCGAAAGCGGGGCTTCTCTTTAAACTGTCTCTTGTAAATTAGAGTCTCTTCTTTTACACCCCCTGTAGCCTAGGGCACCCCCCTAGCGTCATTTGCCCATATTGGGACTCTTCTAGGACCTAGCCCACGCGAGCTAGACTCCGCTTGACGTTAAATAGCAATAAATAAATAAATAAATAGATATATGCACCTTGCCCTCAAATATAACCATTGGAGGCAACACCCATCCATCTGCACAAATTGATTCGACAACTGTAACCCATTCGCGATTCCCTGGTTGTATATGAATAGCCCGTCCTGTATATTCTGACCCTGTAACAACTTTTGCGGTCGCAATTACTCCCATCTGAAAGCCAGTCTCGTCGAAATTGTATATATCCTCCGCTAGTATACCATATTTCGCAACAATATTATGTACTAATCGAAACCAATCTCGGATAATCGTAGGATCCTCGCATTTTGCGCGCTTATAATCGTATTTACGAGTGTATTTCGTCCGTAAAGAGTCGTGGCGCTTTATAAAGTTGTCAACCCAGCATTTTCCGACAATAATTCGACCTACTCCAGTTCGCTTTTCCAGTAGTAAATCGGCCATTTGGCGTATCGAATCTTTCCGTACTGGCAGACCTCTAGCTTCCATTGAGCACATCCATTGTATAAGTGCTGATTCCTCGAGGTCGGTGAGTTTCTGGGTTCGGGGTCGGAAATCGCGTTGTGGAATAGCTCCCTTGACGCGGTCGTAAGTAGTAGAATATGGCGCATCGTACCTTGTACAAGCTGCTTTTAAGCTTGTAAATTGACCCTTATTGTATGCACTGATTGCAAGAGCAATTTGACCTTCTTTTGGAGACATTTGAACAATAATTGGGTAAGTTATGTAGATTGAAAGTGTGTAGGGTGGTCAATGGTGGGGTAAAAAATCCGGACTGCTTATAAATCCGGACTCCTTATGAAGTACTTTAGACCTTATTATTACTAGTTATTAGTTAGGGACTTAAGTCTAGTTTCTTACCCTAGGTTATCTTTAGTCCTTTAGCTTCTCTAGTACTATTTTAGTTATAGGCGGATTTATAACTAGCCTAGCAAGGGCTTAACTAACTTTAGTTTCTATAGTTTACTTACCTAAGCTACTTTAACTATAGTATAGGTTTAGTCTAATTATTACTTACCGCTTCTTATACTATATACTCTTATCTATCTAGTTTCTTATTAAATTAATTATATCTTAGGGTACTTTATATAAACCATCTTTACTTCTTTTCTAAGTTTATCTTTTCTATGTTTATAATTACGTTACTAGACTCTATATCCTTGATTTTAAATTACTACTTAGCCTCCTCTTAGGTTTTTTCTATATATATAATAAATTTATTATATTCCTATTAGTTGAAGCTTAAATAGTATTATAAATTATGTAGAATACATCTATCTAAAAGGCGTCTACGCTCTATATTTATCGCCTCTAAGGGTATATTTTATAAGGATTAAGGTAGGTTAACCTATATTTATATCTCTATAGAGCTTATAAGAAGTACTACCGCCTTAGTCTACGGCTTCTATAGTTTAATAAGAGGTCGGAATTCTAGTTATTATAGTACCTAAGATACTACTCCTTACGGCTCTTATAGAGTGTTTACTAGGTTCTATTAATTAGATATTATAAAAATATAGTATTATAAAGATAATATTTATAAAATTAAAGTTAAGGATAAAGCTCTTAGCCTCCTTAATCTAGTAATAATTTTAGTAGCCTATACTCTATATAAAGGTAAATAAGTTAAAGGTAAAGATATATTCGCCTTTAACCTAATAATAATACTAGTAGCCTATAACTGTCCGTAGCTCTACTTTAGTAAGTAAAGATATATAGTCTTCTAATCTAGTAATTAGTAAAGATATATAGTAATTATACCTAGTAATAAATATAAGTCTATATATAGTTTTAAGCTATAATTATTACTTAGTATTATAATTCGGTTTCCGCTTAACTAGAACTAGCCTCTTATATTTTACTTTAAAGTTATAAAGTAATTACTATATATTAGCTAGTTCTTTTCTTAGTAGCTATTAGTTATCCTCTAGTCCATAGCTTTTCTAGTATATAAGGTATTTCTCTTAGCCTATAGGTATAACCTTCTTTTTAATTATTCGCTTAACTTCCTATTATAGGTCCCGGCTAACTATAATTACGTCGGGTTTTACTAGGATAGGTTACTTATATAGGTCTTAACCTCGAGGTTTAAGCTCTAGGTAAGTAACTAATATAACTAGGTAGATTTTTATTAACTTAGGTAAATCTAGTTTATATACTAGTCTACCTACCTACTCTATAACTTAGAATGGGCCCGCTTACTATATATAGATCTTTCTATTATCTTTTATAGCTAGTAGGTTATAACTCTTATATAGTTATAAGAATACTTTATTCCTTACCTTAAGGAAGGTAGGTTTATAGTTCTTATTATAAGATAACTTTATATATACTACTACTTCTACTAGTATATTAACTACTTCGATTTTTACTACTAGTATA